AGACAAAAGTCTCCTACAAACAGCTGGAAGCCACAAACTAAACTCCAGAACCTGGATTCCTTCACTATTGGTGAGTCTCATTAATGTGATGTGTTGGAGGCTCGTTTTCGTCCCAGGAATCTTTGATTCTTTTTTCAGCTTGTAATAGAGTGAAACTGCAGAGCAAAGTGAAGAAGAAAGGTGTTTTGTGGTTTTCAAACTGTGTCTTTTCTTCTCTGTGATCTTTGTGGACCAACGTTGGTGCTGAAATGTGGAAAATTATTCCCCAAATCGACGGACGTGTCTGTGTTCGCTACATCTGCTAACGCGCCAGCATGTAATTCAGACTTGTGCCACGCTGAAGCTGAAATGTTATTCGGTCCAACCTGGTGAGATTGCTGTCGCCCTGTTTACAGAGAAGCGAGCAGGGAGCTCATTAAGGCATGAAGCTGACACGTTCAGATGCTGTCAGATTAACAGAAAGGAGTCCTCTTAATTAAAGGGGCTTTAATTAAAAGTGCAAAAAAGCTAAAAACAAATCTAAACTAAACCCCGAAACTAAGTCTTAACTCTCAAACAGCTCCTGAAAAGGTGTGTGAGGAAGTGAAAACTGGCCAGAATGTCCTGATGGTGTCGTGAATGGAGCTGCTCAAACACAAACGCAGAAATAATCTCTTAGAAACTATTACACGTGTAAAATGACTGCGGGGTGAAACTGAGGCTGAGCAGAGAAAATTTTGACTTTGCACATGAAATGACCCCGGCGCAGTCTTTTAATAGGTAATCAGACCACCCACGTCACCTTTGTGCTGAGTCGCAGATAACTGCCTGCTGTAGATGTGAGTAAATGCATCACAGTGAGCTAGCAGAATAGCTGTGTGTGCACACTGACATGTTAAATTAGCTGGCAGATATGAAAGAAGGCATTTTCAGGCTGCCTGAAGCTCCTCGGGGGAAGGCAGATGCAGAAGTGTTTAAATAGAGTTGATGTTTTCTGTTTTATTTTTTTTTATCAGGGAAGACCATGAAACTGATGTGAGTGTGTGTCTCTGTGCTGCCGGTGTGTATCTGCAGTGGTACCAGATGACTCAGTACATTTACTGAAGTAGAATCTGAAGGTATTTAACAAGTACATCACGACTACACAGTACTTCTGCTGATAGGAGGGAAATAACGCACTATTATTCATATATTGCACATATAAATGATGCATCGTCGTACAGTTAATTAAATATTGAACAGTATAAAGTGCTGTTTAGAAATTAATCTGAATCAAAATGTATAAACACAAATATGTATTTTAATCCATTAATATAGTGTTTGACTCATGGAAAAATGACCCAACTTCAAAAATAAAAATGTATATCAGGTTAAGTGTACGCTACAATTAACAATGTTTTTGGATGGATATGTCTTTTCAGAGCCCCCAGACTCCATTGACAAAACCAATGATTTAAGCTGACAGAAAACCAGAGCTGTTTGTCTTTTATTGTGTGACTTTGGTGCTTCAACATGTTAGTTCTGATCTTGAATGAATGTATTTAAACTCTGAAGTTTCACAATAACACAAACAAATGAGCCAATTAAGGCAGCAGCACACAGACAAGTCCTGTTTTCTGTGAGGTAGAATTGCCGGTTTTGTTAGTGGACTCTGGTAGCCTTGAAGGAAGCGATACCAAAGCTTTTGTTGGAAAGGAAAGTTTTCTTTACAAAATCACCTAAATGCCACCATTCACCAGCCAGACACTATAACGACAAAAAGAATGTCAGATTTCCAACTCTTTGACAGTCCCTGACTCCTTGACGAGCTGTTCTGTTGGAAAAAAAATCAGCCACATCTGTGCCGAGCATCATGGTATTTCCTAAAAATCACTTTATTGTACATGTTCCATTACATTTTTTTTTCACAGATACACCATTTGCTCTGACTAGATTCTGTAGAAAATGAAAAATTCTGTGATCCTCTGCTCAACCCAAGAAGCTATTAGTGACTCAGTCGAGACAAACAGTCATTTGACAAAAATTCAGTTACTGCTGAGTAATTATTGGCATTCCAGTCGCAGCAAAGAGGGCAGAATTTTTTTTGTTTTTTTTACAGAATGTGTTTGGATCAAACCGTTAATTTTTGTGATTTCTTAAATAAGACGAGTAGAATAAAGTGAGTTTGATGAAATGCCACCATGTTGAGGTTAGATTTGGTACGTTTTCTAGATGGGATCACGTGATCTGCCGAAAAGTTTCACGACTGTTGATGACAACTAAGTTACTCATGGTTGATCGCACAACTTTTAGTCACTTACAGAACCTGGTTGGAGCAAACTGCTTATTGTGGGTGATCTTTTGATTATATGTCATGATTTTGAGCTTGATTCTAAATTGTCCGTGTGCTTGGTTGTCTGTCTCTAAGTGTAGCCCTGTGATAGACTGGTTACCTGTCCAGGTGAACCTGCCTTCACCCTGAGTCAGCTGGGATAGACTCCAGCCCCCCATGACCCGAGTGAGGATTAAGCGTTGTATAGATAATGGATGGATGTATTTTGAGCTTAGTTTTCTACCAGAACATCACAGACGAGTAGTTTGAGGACCATCGGAAAACTGAAAATCAAAAGATTCTTTCTGTTTTTTCAGTTTCCGGACATTAAATGGTGTCATTTGGGTGATTTCCTGTCGAGGGTTAAATGCTCCCCTTCAGGTACGTTTACCTGATCTCTGGCCTGATCTATGAAGGAGCCGCACTCCTCCAGGTACGCCGTGATGTCGGTGTCGGGCAGGTCGAGGATCTGCAGCGTCTTGTAGACCATCTGATCTGGGAACAGCTCGGCGACTCCGTAGGCCACGTTCAGCACATGAGACACCTGACGGGACACGAAACACCTTCAGGAACGACCCCTGAGCATCGACTGAAAGGCTCTTTTTGCGTCGGCGAGGGAGGAAGAGAGATATTCTGTCGGCCATATTGATGACCTGACACAGCCTGAATGTGACTGAGAGGGAGCGAGGAGGGGGAAGAAGGATGGAGGGGGAGAGGGAGCGGAGGGGAAGGAAGACAGATGGCTGCGATTCATTTTGCAGTATCTGTCTACTCTCACTTAAATTTAGCTTACCTCAGAGGGCTGAACTCTCTGCTCTGTTACATCTCAGCGTCGCGCTAATGTGTTCTGCTTTCAGGCTGCTCGTATCATCTAACATCCTCTTCCACATGTGAAGGGACGAGTTAGGCGTTACACTATATTTTTATTATTGACAACAAACCCCATTAAGGGCTGAAACAAACAAGAAATTGATCCTGTTAACTGATAGAGCTTGTTCTTTTAGTGCCACAGAGCTGCGCTGAAAAGCACATCAGACTGCCACGACAGCAGCGAACGCATATTAATTCACAGATGGAAATAGTGCCGAGCAGGGCCCTCGCTCCTCCTGTTTCCGTGCTTTATTAAACACAAATAAACCTGCATATTTGTGAGACATTTCTGAGAGCGGAGAACAGAAACACACCAATTAATTTGCTGCCTTTAAAGCTCCCAAATGGTGAAAATCCACTGTTGTTAGTGTGTTTTGTTTGTAATAAAAACTTGGAGATAAAAATAAAAGCTGTGAGAATATGAAGACGTTCACTACTGCCCTTCCCCCGAGCCCACACAACTAGAAGTCCAAAATTTTTATTCAGGTTCTACACAAAAACTGAGGAACCAATAGTCATCCAGCTCTGTGTAGCTCCGCCCCCTCACAGCTTCCAGGTGAACCAATCAGAATGAGCAGCTGCATCTCAGTCCAACAGGTTTATTTACCTTCTGCAGCTGCTTCTGCTGAACTCTAAAATGTCTGAACCACGAGCAAAAGTCACCAGATGCTGTAAGAGTGAACACAAGAGTCTTCATGCACTCAAACTTGGCAAAAATGACCCAAAGAATTTACCAAAATGACTCAAAACGTGTCCAAAACCAGTCAAAGTAAGTATAGAATGTGACTCAAAACACATTGAAAATTAGTCAAAATGTGTTTAAAATAACTTTGAAACTTGAATTTGAAAACTGAACTATCTGAGCCACAAGCAAAAGTCACCAAATGTTCTGCTGTTGACATCAAGAGTGAACACCACGGTCTTCATACACTCAAACTCTGCAAAAATGACCTGACCTGTTGTCCAAAATGCCTCCAAACTCATCTAAAATCAGGTGAAATATGTTCAAAATGACTCCAAACCTGTTCAAAATGAATTAAAATATGCTTAATGTGACTCAACATTAATCCAGAACGACTCAAAAAACCCTCAAAGTTCAGAGTGAACACTTATAGACCAGTGCAGCCTGTATATGTACACACCTGGTTTCCTGTTTAAAGTCAGTGGGTGTGGCTTATATTCAGGTGCCTCAATAGTCTGGAATTTCCGGTACTTTTACAGCAGTTTGTTGAAGCAGCAACGCAGACGACCAACTTATATCAGAATCAGGACCACACTGAGAAAAGCTGAATGTAAATCAACGACATGATCACAACCAGGAGCTCATATTGGTTCTGCTGGTCTTGAACTGCAGCCGGTCCACAGCGTTTTTAAAGCGTTTCCAGGTGAACCGTTGGGTCTCTCGGGGTTTAAACCTCTCACAGAAACCCCGGTCGGTCCAAATTTTGGGAGGTTTCATCCCAGAAAGGGGAACTGAAGGTATCCGTAATCTCTCCAATTCATCATCCCGAGACTGCACAGACAGCAATATGCTCATGCCTGGAAGCAGCACTGCAGAGGGGAGCAGTCGCACCGGAGCCGAGGAGGAGGCTTACTGTAATCACCGACTCCCTCTGCTGAGCTAAACTGTCACTGCATGAGTCATGGAGCTGCTGCAGGCGCTCGCTCGGCCGGCCGGGAAGCTTCACCTGCCTCTAATCTCATGTCGCTGCACATGTGATCGCAACAAGACAAGGGCACGGAGCCGCATCGATCCCCAACTGACCTTAAATCTGCGCAGGGTGTCGATGTCGTGGGCTGCATCCTGAGAGGCTGAAAACAGAAACGACTGGATGAGGAGACAGACGGGAGGACACGGCACCGACTACTGGACTCGTCTCACTTATGAAAGGCTGCCGCTTATTGCACAGCTGTAAAATAAGCAAACAGGAATAATAACCAGCATCTGGGGTGTTATTCTGACATGAATTTACTGTTTAATTCAACTGCACAGCACCAGCAGGGCTGTTCTAAACTTTATTAGCTTTCTTTTAAATCGTCCAACAAACCAAAATGAACGACGTCGTTTGCTTGTAGCATCTAAAATGTGGAGATTTTCTCATGTCCTGTGTTTGTCTGCATTCAAATACAAGAAAAAAAACTTCATTTGATGTTTTTAGGTGACAGATTTGTTTCTGTATTTTTTAAATAAATAATAAATGTTAAAACTTAACACACAAAATATCAATAAAATTACAAAAACAGACGTTTGGTGTAAAAATACTGTGAATAATCGTAAATGTGACTTTTTTTTTTAGAGAAAACTGAAATGTTCTCATACGTAAACAAAACTTTATCTTTCTTAGTCTAATTTTTGCAAATTTTTTTTTATTTAATATGTGAAACTGTTCAACTCAAGTTTAATACTGTAAATATATTTTTCAAATTGGAGGCAATTAGTGACAATTAACACAAAAAGAAGAGTTGATTCTGTAGTTTTACATCAATTTGTTTGTTAAATGAGAGCTATCCTCTATAAATACAGATGTTTTCACAACAAAAACATTAAATAAATGTGTTCTTTCATTACTGTATAATATCTATAAGCATTAATAATCTGTCAAAATCTAGTTTTGTCATCATAGATATATCGTTATCTATATTATCATTTTATGTTATAGGTGATTTCATTGTTGTTACACCTGCAAATATCCTTCATTCAACATTAAAAGAAGCAAAAAAATACACACGATCTATATTTATGGAAAATTATTTTATTTTATTAATGCTATTTTTAATTATATTACAGTATTTATGTATATTTAAGGACTGAAAAATGGCAAATACATTTTTAGTTGATAATTTACAGATTAAAATCACTGTTTTGTTCAATTACAAATAACAGCTTTAAAAAATTCACAGGAAAAAGTATTAATTTAAGTGATGACTTTAAAGAAGCAGAACAAAAATGTAAATAATGTCCACATCAGAAATCTGTATTTTTATAAATAAGAATTTGTTCTTTTATAATGTGCGACTGTAAAATTGAAATCTGCAAAATATATATACATATATATATATTATTTTACCAATATTTGCTGTTATTTTTTTTATTTTTTTTTTTTACAGTTTACAGGTTTTGAACGTATTCAGCCATTTTTCATCGTATCTGTTTTATTTACAGATTTTTTTTTACAGTGCAACAGCAGGAATAATAACTTTTAAATATTTTTTTTGTTTTTATCATTTTAAATTGAATATTTTCTGGGTTTCAGACAGTCGCATTAACAGATGATGTGATCTGAAGAATCACTTTGGGAAAATGTGGCAGCTGTTTGACTGTTTGTACATTTTTGTGTTTAGGTTCTAATGAAAATAATCCTCATGTGAGGCCTTTTCCCTGATAAACTCGGAAACATCCAGTGTCTGACCCCACATTTCTTTTTTAAAAACACTTCAACTGGTCCTGAGCAGCAGCAGAGAAGATTTCCGAGACCAACAGTGAAAGTGCTTCGAGCCACAGAGAAAGAAAAGAAGCGAATGATTTGTACAGAAGCACCAGACTGGGCTTAAGAAAGTGCTGAAACAAACACTCGATATTATCTACGTCTGCACAGGAGGCAGGTTGTGATTTCTCGCGGAAAGAAGTGAGCAAAGGCGTTTTCATGACAACAACCTTCAGAACAGCAAAAGTTTGAATGACTAATGCGGCGGCAGAAGGAAGGTCGAAGACTAATGGAGGGAAGAGAGCAAACAGCAAGAAAACCAGGTGGAGGAAATCACTGGAAATAGAAACATTTGTCAGGTAACCGTCGAAGGTAATTATGTGGAGGAGACATATGGGCAGCGGGCAGCATGCGACCGCAGGACTTCCTCCAGACTTCCAGCCTGGATTTTCTGCTCGCTGCCTTCAAAGGAGCAACATTTGCACTCTTTGCATTAGCCGAGGCGCTTTCACGTAAAGCCAAATTCACGGTGTCGAGAGGCAAAGCCAAACCTAAAGCGGGGTTTGGAAGTGAGCCAGCTGCAGCCCATATGTCTGATCAGTAGAGAAGGAGAGGATTTAAGCCGACACATCTGTGAGGAGATGCAGCGATGCCAGGACTGCTGAAGCATGTTTAACCCTGAACTCTGAGGAGCTTCTGAACATCTTTCACTGCAACATAAAGTCCTGCACCTCTGTGGAAACACCATGAAGAAGGAGAGAAAACTCGAAATCGTCTTCAGCAACACAGTTAGAATGACGGAAATCATAGAAAGTAGATGTTCTTTGATGACTGGATTTGAAGGAAAAAAACTAAATCAACACATCCAGCAAAAACACTTCCTGCAGTTCAGCCGAAAACTCTCTGAATTTTTGTCACGTGACTGTTTGTTGCAGCTGAATCACTGATGGCTTCATGGTTGCAATGAACTGTGCAGAATTTTTTGTTTTTTACAGAATCTGTTAAATGCAAATTGTTTATTTTTCAACAGAATTTTAAATAAGACATGTAGAATAAAACAATTTGGACACGGTGACTCATTCAAGGACAATCGGAAATTTGGAAATCTGATGATTCTTTTTTTTTTTTTTACAGGTTCTGGCTGATAAATGGTGTCATTTTGGTGATTGTTTAAAAGGTAAAACAGCTTTAAAACCTGCCAGAGAGGTTTCAGGAAGTTAAAGAAAAAGTTATCACAAACATTTTTTGCGTTCTGGAAAACAGGTGGATAGAAAATACGAAACCTGAGCACAAAGACAGGAAGCAGTTTACTTCTACTACAGTGAGTTCTCCTTCAGTGGTGAGTTCATCCCTCTGATGATAATACAGCTGTGAGACGAGCATCAGCGGCTGGATGGACGTGGACGAAGTGCCAGAAGTGAGATTCTCAGAGAAGGAGAATAACGAGGAGGCGTTTACTGGCGTCGCAGCATTTCAAAGTCAGCGTGGAGAAACTGAACGTGAAGGCGTGTTGCTCTGAACCTGTACGTTGAGGAGCTGAGCAGCGGTTCGCGGTGTTTAAAGGAGAGTCACCTCTGCTGAGCCTGACAGATGTAATGTTTTATCGACCCCCTGCTGAGAGATTCTGATTCCCTCCTGCTCCGAGGTCAAAGGCAGCTCTGGAGGCGAGTCCAAGGACGAGCAGGACGGATTCGTGCTGACGAGTCGGCACGTCGGCCCGAGACGCACTCGCAGCTCGTGACATTGATTTATTAGGAGTTTATTTATTTAATATTTAATCTGGTGGCTGAGCAGATTGGAGGAAAAAAAAAAAACGAAGATTGACGCCTGAGCTGAGCAGGCGTTTTAAACAGTTCAGGACAAAACCGACGAGATATTCTGTCAGTGGAGCAGAACCGGCTGTAGCTGTGGTTCTGGTGATTCTAGTAGTGAAGTGGTGAAAATGAACCAGTTAATCCTCTGAACTCATGTTTCTCTGCAACACAAAGTCCTGCAACTCAATAGAAACATGAAGAGAGAGCTCAGAAATGTCTTCTGTGATAGAAATCATAGAAAAATTAGATATTTAAAAATAATTTATTCACAAAAATTGAAAAATAAATTGGAATCAGCATGTGCCATATTTTCCCCAAGTGTCCACAGGTGTTATCATCACTGGAATAAAATCACTCTACATATTTAATTATTCACATTTCTCATTATTTTCCCGACTTGTCTCCGGTCTGCTCTGTGTAAACACTGCAGCTGAAAACTCTCAGAATTTTCCTCACTTAACTGTTGGTCTCTGCTGAGTTACCAATAACTCCCCTGTTGCCTTGAAATGCTCTGAATTTGTTGTTTTTTGCAGTATCTGGTTAAAGCAAACGGTTTGTTTTAGGTGAAATTTTAAATACAAAATAAATACGATTTTGATGAAACATCACCAGTTCAGGCTTTGATTCGGTTTTCTGATAGAACGTAACATCCCAGACGATTACAGTACTAGTCCTAATAGTAGTAATACTGGTGCAGTAGCAGTAGTACTGATGGGAGTAGCAGTAGTACGAGCAGTAGTAGTCACATTAGTTCATGCTGTAGTATCCATAGTAGTGATGGGTGCAGCAGTGAAGTAGAACTAGTGATATTAGTCGATGCAGTAGCAGGAGGTTAGTCATGATGATGAATGGTGAAGTTAATGCAGTACTAGTAGTAGTGATGGCGGTCGCAGTAGTAAAAGCACTACCAGTAATATTAGTTGTATTTATGGTGAAGTTGATGCAGTAGTGGTCAGAGTGGCTGTAGTACTATCAGCAGTAGTACTGTGTGGTTGTGTAATGGAGCATGGCAGTGGATAGTAGTGAGTAAACGGTAGTCAGTAGTAGTGAGTTGTAGTGAGTCAACAGCAGCAGAAGTGGCAGTGGATGTACTACTAGTAGTATCACTATATGGTTGTGTAATGGAGCATAGTAGTGACTCTCTACTAGTGAGTAGTAGAAAGTAGCAGGAAGTAGTAGTAGGAAGTAGTAGTGAGTAGCGGTAAGTAGTAGTGAGTAGTGAGTAGTAGTAAGTAGTAGTGAGTAGCAGTAAGTTGTAGTGAGTATTATTGAGTAATAGTGAGTAGTCGTGAGTAGTAGTGAGTAGGGTGGATAGTAAAAGTGAGTAATAGTGAGTAGTAGTGAGTAGTGTGGAGAGTAGGGAGCAGTAGTGAGTAACAGTAAGTTGTAGTGAGTATTACTGAGTAATAGTAAGTAGCAGTGAGCAGTACAGTTAGTAGTAGTGAGTAGCAGTGAGTAGCAGGAAGTAAGTAGTAGTAAGTAGTAGTGAGTCGTAGTGAGTCGTAGCAAACACAAGTAGATAGTAGCAAGTAGTAGTGGCCAATAGGGAGTAGCAGCAAGTAGTAGTGAGTAATTGTGAGTAGCAGTAAGTAAGTAGCAGTAAGTAGTAGTGAACACTAGTAGATGGTAGTGAGTAGTAGTGGCCAATAGGGAGTAGCAGTAAGTAGTAGTGAAGAATAGTTAGCAGAAGTGAGTAGTAGTGAACAGCAGTGATTGGTAGTTAGTAGTAGTAAATAGTGATTAGTCATTAGTAGTAGTAATAAGTAGTTAGTAGTAGTAATTAGTAGTTAGTGGTAGTAACTAGTAGTTAGTAGTAGTGATTAGTAGTTAGTAGTAGTGATTGGTAGTTAGTAGTAGTGATTAGTAGTTGGTAGTTATCAGTGTTGACTAGCAGCAGTAGTTACCCAGCAGTAGGAACGGTCGGGCGACTCCAACCTGAAGGTCCAGACTGGTATCTTCTACAAACCCACATCCACCCTCCTCCTCCTGCAGCTCCTCCACCTCCTCCACCTGTTCCCCTCCTCCTCCTCCATCACTCCTCCTCTCCAGCAGCTTCCTGCCCGTCACCGTGGTGACGCGCGTGCACTGTTTCCTGAGACGCTGCTTGGAGAATCCCTGGATCTCCTGGGTCAGTGAATGCATCACGGCAGGACTCAGCTGCAGCAAAACAAAAACAAAGAGGAAGTTTTGTAGTTTACAGCTGATCAGTGATCATTTAGTGATGCAGGGGTTTAAATAAAGTGTTGGAAGGTTGGATTGTGTGTCACAGCTGAGATATACAGCCACAAAACACTCCAAACAAACTCCTCCAGTACATTTTACACTAGTTAAGTTTCCCTACAGTAATATCCAGGCGCAGCATATACAGTAGATGACTGTTAGATCGTTTTTTAACAGCAAACCTGTGTGCAAAATGGAAAGTTGAATGAAAAAGTGAGCATGAAGCTGCATAACATGTACAAGTCACGCTGCGTTCACTCACCTGCTCGAAACGAACTGAATTAAAGCAAAATCCGGCAAAACATCACATCATCTCTGCTTCAAAGCTGCCTTAGATCATAATCGGTACATTATTTCAGCTGCTGTGTCTAATTTAGGAGAGGAAACGAGTTAAAAGCAGCGACGGGAGCTGCAGCAATGGCTGAGCCGTCGGAAGCAGCGTCAACAATATGAGGCGTTCAGGAGCTCCGGATAAAATAGGAAATTACAGCACTTCAAAGAGGACCTTGCTTTCCTTTCCAGGCTGCTCTTTGCTGAAAACAGTGCAGGTGCAAAGAAAGGAAGACGTCGAAAAATGTCACACATTGTCACTTTTGTGTACTTATCTGTCTGAAAAAATTATAAATAAGAAAAAAATAAATAAATACTGAATTAGTCAGAAAAATATGTGTAATAATGAATATTGCAGGTTCTTAATATTAATGTTTGAATTTGTTACGTAGATGCATACAACAAGAAATATTGCAGGTTCTTAACTTTGATATTCAGAGAAATTTGTATCATTTATCACATTGTAGATTCTTAACGCTAGTATTTAAATTATCCAGACAATTATTTCCATAATATTTCAGGCTTTAAACATTTGTTTTTAAATTAATCAGGTAGGTGTCTGTCATAAATATTATTTTATTTACTTAAATGTATTATTTAAGCCAGCCAGGTACATTTGTATATTTACTGTTTTTTTATTTCTAACCGTAATATTTAAATACATTCACACAGTATTGTAGATTTTAACGTTAATATTTATATGCATCAGGTAAATGACTATAATAAAGGTTCTTAAATGTGATATTTAAACTAGTCCAGTAAATTTGTATAATATATATACTGTAGATTCTAAACTAATATTTAAATAGCCAGGTAGATTTGCAGGTTCTTAATCTTAATATTTAAATAAATCAGGTAAATATTTATTACAAATAAAATTCTAGGTTCTTAACTGTGATATTTAAACTAGTCAGATTATTGTACTGTGTTAATTGCAATATTTAACCTGCCAGGTAGATTTGTATAATACTGCAGGTCTTTAACCATATTATTTAAATGTATCAGATAAATATGTATTAAAAATAAAACTGTAGGTTCTTGAATGTAATATTTTCACTCGTTGGGTAAATTTGTGAAATACATAGTATTAGTAATATTTTTTTAAACAGGTAGATTTACAGTGATATTTGAATGCATAAGGTAAATCATTATTACAAACAATATTCTATGTCCTAAAGTGTAATATCTAAACTAGTCAGGTAGATGTGGACACTATTGCAGGTTTTTAACTCTAATATTTAAATACATCCGGTAAAAAATCTGTCATAAATAAAATCTTAGGTTCTTAACTTTGATATTTTCACTAGTTGGGTAAATCTGTATGATTTTGTAGGTTCCTAACCTGTTTAAATGAGTAAAGATCTGTATAACACATGAATAGCAGGACGACGCCCCTGTGTTCAGCCCTGATGTCTGCTCTGACCGAGTGTCCGTGAACGCAGCGCAGCAGCCTGGTTGTGGAAAGCAGGACACCTCCTTCATCCCGGAGACCGAAAAAAGCAGGAGACGGTGGGTGGAGTACAGGAAGAGCTGCTGTCCCCGAAAATCTCTCCGATCATGGGCGAAATCTAACAATCCGTCGACCACCGCTGCTTTTTCCTCCTCCTTCTCCGGACCAGAGGCTGCGGACGTTTGTGCTCCTTTTTTTTTCTGGATCGAATCGGGGGTTGAACCGAACATCGAAGAGAAGATGTCTCGGGGAGTGATCCAGCCCAGCCAGCAGAAGCTGGCTGAAAAGCTCACCATCCTCAACGACAGAGGCATCGGGATGTTGACCCGAGTTTACAATATCAAAAAGGTTGGCGCACACACACGCAGTGAGACGCACATGAAGCTGCTTCTTTATCTGGAATATCTGCATCCCAACCCAGCGTCGGTGTTAACGACAGTGGGCAGCTAGCACTGACTGTCTCCCTCACGGTAGCGGTAGCTGGATTAATAAACCACCCTGACGTTGTTTATAGTGGCCACGATTCATAATTTTATTAATAAATGTGAATATAGCAGAATATACGCCAACATTATCCCAAATACGTCCCATTAGCATCCCTGGGAGCAGGTTGTGGGCACAGCTAGCCAAAAGCTGCGTTAGCTTGCGGTAAAGTTGCCCGTCCTTTTTACGGTGTAAACCGATTTTCGTTTGGATTAAAAGCAAACATTAACTCGTTTCCTGAGCAGCGGGATGGACACGTACCAACCATAAGCCACAAACCTGGTTAGAAAGGCCGAGTCGGGTGATATTTGACCAACCGTCCGGCCTGCGGTTAGCGCTAGCGGCCAGCTAACGTCGGCTGGTAATGGCGGCGGCTGCTAGCTAGGCTAAGCTAAGCTAGCAGTCGGGCGTCGTCTCTGCTCCAGCAAAAAGCCAAAACACGAAGCAGCAAAAACACTAAATCACAGAAACGGCTGCAGTCTGACAGTGAGTTCAGATGGATATAACCTCAGGGATCGTTTCTCTACTAAACTACTAGTTAGCTATCGTGAGCTTGTACGAAAATGAAACTAAAGCAACAAATCAATGCAGCTTATTGTTGGTTTATTTGACGTTTGGTCAGAAATCTAGTTTGTCATAACTAGTTCAAAAATCTGCTTTTATTATTGTACAATTCAGCTGGTTACTTTATCTGACCAGCAGCTATATTTAATAAATAAATCAATAAAATAGTGCAAAAACCTAAACTCGAAAGTTACGTTATTTATTTCACCAGCAGGTGTTTTGTTTACTTTGTTTATTAGATAAATAATTTTAGATCAAGGCTGCAGCTATCAATTACTGCTGTTATAGATGAGTCTGGCAGTTATTGTCTCTATTAATCAGTCAGTTGTTTGATCATTAATGTCAGAAAAAATGTGAAAAATGTCAATCAGCGTTTCCCAAAGCTCAAGATGACAAATGTCTTGTTTTTATCCACAACAGAGGAAGTCAGAAACCAGAAAACACTCAGATTTTTTAAAAAAAAACTGCAGTCAGAGAATTTAGACTGCCTCTTTGCAAATTACTATCAAAATAGTTGACAAAAACTTCAGCTAAAATGTCTAAAAATAAATACTGATGTCGATCAGTGTTTCCCAAAGCTCCCTAATCTCTTGGTAGATAATGATCAAACTCACAGATTGTCAAAATTCCTGTCAAATAATGTAATAGTAATGTAATAACTGACTAATTGATCATTTAATCAGTTGTTTGGTCTATAAAATGTCAGAAACTTGTGAAAACGTGTTTCCCAAACCCCAAGATGACAAATGTTTTGGGTTTTTTTGGCCACAACGCAAAGAAATTGTCTGTATCTGTAAAATATAATAACATCTAATGACCCACAGTCTGTGAAGGGCAAAGATCTCTGACATAAAAGATGAAGACATGTGCTCAAATATCTTGTTTTGTCTGAAGATCATCAGTTTATCGTCACAGAAGAGGAAAGAATCCAGAAAATATTCACAATAAAGAGAATTTAGACTTTTATTTTCTTAAAAAAAATAACTTTAACCAATTAAATGAATGACGATAAGTGTAATTATCACAACTAATGCATTGATCATCACTGCTTTCCTCTTGAGTAGTTTAACTTATTATCATTACATTTTCTAAAACCCAAAGATTTAGGCTGAAGCTGTCAAATCATTGTCGTGCAGTTCAAGCATACTTAAACAGGAAATAGAAATCTATGTAACACAAGACTTTATTTATTTACAGTAGAGTAAATGTGCCTAATTAATTTCCAACATCCTGTGTTTTGACAACCTTTTATTTACAGTGTTGATTAATATTCAGATTATTCTTCTGTCTGTAGAATATTTTATTTTGTATTATATGTATTTTTTTAATATCAGAAAATATTTTAAAAACAGAAACCAACAATCTGTGAAAGCCAAAAAATTCAAGTTTACAGCAAATATTTTTTCCACAATCCAAAGATATTCAGTTTACTGTCACAGAGGAGGGAAGCAACCGACAAATATTCACGTTTACGATTATTTTTGTTTAAAAACTACTCGATTATCAAAATAGCTGACGTAATAGTTGACAACCAATCGATTAACTGATTGATCTATTAGATGTATGTTTATATTCATAGAGGAGGAAAGAAACTGAAGATATTCACATTTAAGAAGCTGCAACTAAAATAAAAAACTTTCTCCCTCAGAAATTACTCAGCTGTGCCCACATTTAAACAAACATCTCCTCGTCAGTGCAGTGGACTCAGAATTATAGACTATAACACGTTTATTGATGTTACTGACTCTGATCTGTGTTGCTCAAGTTTTCCACCAATGGACTGTGTGTGGGAGGAGAAGAGTAGTGGGTCTGTCTGAGTGGGTTGAGCCTCTGTGCTTGTATGTATGTTGAATTAAAAAAAAAAAAAGATGGCGAGAGTGAAAGAGGTCAGTCATCTCGTAGCAAGTTTTAACGAGAACAGCGTAGAAGTTAAACTGTCTGAAAGCTCATACTGTCTCCTCTGCACGGCCTCTGGAGCGCTTACTTCCCATTCGGGGTGAATCTGGTGTCAGTCTTTACTAAAATGTCCAATAATTGGCGATAAGTGGGTGAAACATGCAAGCGGACTCATCTGCACGTTTCCTCTCTGTGGGAGCTTTAACCCAGTGTGAGCTGTCAGACACTGTTGAGATTTTTGCTGCTGATTACTCTTCTTAACACGCCCTTCCTTCCTTCCTTTCCTCCCTCCTTCCTTCCTTCCTTCCTTCCTTTTTCTTTCTGTCTGTCCCATCATCTTCATATCTCTCCTGACCTGCCTCGCCATGACTCTTCTCTACATGTCCACTCTGAACTGCTGCTCATGTGTTTCTTTTTAACGCTTTCCTTTTTTTTTTTTTTTACCTTGTGATACTAGAAAACGTTCCAGCATCCAAATTCAGCTGCATCCCAAAGCTAGAAACGAAAGAACTGGGACAGCAATCTGCGGTAAAGTCGGCTGGCTCATGCTCATATCCTCAACGGCAATCTGGATTGTATCCCCGCAAATTCTCTGTGTGCGTTCTCTCTGGTGTTTATCGTCACTAAAGAGGGTTTTTGATGACGGAGACGCAGGTGACGGACCCGGTTGTTTGGTTTCTACCTTTGGGAGTAATTCATGCACACTAACAGTAATGTTATCATCTAAGATCACAGCAATGTTCTTTTTCCTTTCTCGAGCATATTCACTCATTACACACCATCGACTATCTGCAGAAAACCTTTAAAATCTGTTCCTTAATTAAGCCGCCTTAATTAATCGTGGCTGAGTGGCATTAAAGTTTTTGTTTGCTGTGCTTGTCTTTCAGCCAGTGGACCTTCTAACTTCATACTTTGTCTTGCACACAGCGCTTTGCAGGGTGTTTTATTTCTTCCCTTAACCTCGCTTGCACTCAGGTAGCCACCGTAGTCTCCTCCGTAGCTGGCGTGCAGTTAGTTAAACGGTTAGAAATGGCCTGTGTGTGAGGAATAAACCCGCAAATGATAAACTCACCAGCAGACTCCCGACGTCTAAAAGTGTTTCCTGGATTAAACGCAGTTTTAATGATCAGGCTGGAGTTTGTTCTGCTCGTCAGATGTCCGTTTTCTGCAGGAATAAGTTAAACTTCTCTGACACAGTCCCGATTAAACTTTGCTGCGGTGGTGTTTCTTGCAGGGCTTTTTGCGTGGAGCTGCATTAGATTTAACAGTTTGGCTTGTTTTCCCAAGATAAGTTTTTTCTTCTCTGAGTATTTCGAGTTCCTAAAGTTGATTTTATATCAACTAGAGTTTGCATTTTGGTAAAACAGCTGCTCTTTTGCACCAGCAGGATTTATTAAAGGGTAATTCAGAGTAAAACTTCAGCTCCCTGGACACAGAAAAGCTGATTTTCCTTTTTCCTCCTGGTGTTTGCGCTCGTCGTGTTTCTGCTCTACTGACCGTACTTTGATGCTGCAGTGGTTTGTGTGAGACCAGGACTTTTTTTCTGCCACCGGTTGTTTGGCGCCAACGTTTTCTACCGGGACGTTCTTCTGTTTTCTGATCCACAAAATCTGGTCTCTGTCTTTTGTTGTCCAGAACACACCGATGGGTAGAGCCGGGTCACTGGTTTACCTACAGTACGGTGGCCCAGAGGGGACAGTTGCACGTAAATAATTAACTACTAGGGGGGAGAATTTACAGGTTGACATTTAACGAAGGGCACGCCTGATTACCGGGGGGCATTTTTACGCCTCTTTTTTTAATTTTAAGGGCATTTTACGAGCCAGATAAGAGCGAATTCCCCAAGACCTCCATAAATTTCTCAAGGTCCGAATGAAATGTGACTCAGAGAAAACTGCAGCGCAAACAGAATTTGATCAGATCAACGTTAGATTGAATATTTCCAGGGATTATGTTTGATTTAAAGAGGCAGAACTCAGCTGGATTGACTTCACAGATGGGTAGTCGTGCCATAGAGGGCTATAAATGTGCAGGTTTTCATTGAAGGTGGAAACTTTCTGCTGAAATACGCTCCATGAGTGAAATCACCTGTTGGGATGTTTGGATGAAAACCTGCAGATTTTCAGCCCGTTGTGACGTCGCTGCACATCTGTGGCTCAGTTGGCAGCAGGCCTCTAAATGTGTTTGCTGAGGGATTCCCTCTCCTCATCTGCACTCAAGCAAGCAGTGTGACTGTGCATAAAGACAGAGTCATTTGTGTTATGTAATAAATACTATAAGAGGTGCCCTCCGAGTCCAGCCATCATCGGGTGAAAGCAGAGCCGGTTATGGGAGAGTCGACGCTGAATTTGTTGCAGGAAGGGATCAAATGAAGCTTTATTTCGAGCTTGTTGAGTTTCCAAACG